GGGCTTCCCAAGGGGCCTGCGTGCCCTCCTGCCCAACCTGAACCCAAACACCCACCTCACGGGACTCGGCACGGTTCCACCGGCCGGTAGGGCCCCGGGGTCTGCAGCCAGCAAGGGAGGCCTATGCGCAGGGACGGGTGGGAACCCCGGTCAGCCCGCCGCCCCGCCCCGCGCCACTCCTGACGCTCCAGGCCGTGCCCCCTGGAAACAGGCTCCCAACAAACAGGGGCCTGACCCCCAAACTACAGCCTCATAGCAGTGTCGGGCCAGCCCCGCGTGCACCCAGCTGCTCTCCTCCGCCCCGCGAGCTCTCGGGGATGTGGATGAAAAGTAGGGCACAAGCCCCGTGAAGTGACGGGTGACATGAGCGAGCACGAGAAAGCCCACGCCGAGCGCAACCCAACAGCTCTGGGAACCCGCCAGGGTCTCGGCGGCGCGGCCGCTTCCAGGACGAGCCGTGGGCCCAGAAGAGCCCTGCTGCGCCGAGCGCTAAGCGGCGCGGAGTACGGCGCGCGGAGATGCCGGTCACAGCCAGCACACACGACAAAGGACGGTTTAAACTTAGAAACAGCCCCAGTGCGCTCGACTTCAGAAAGCAGGGGGCCCCAGGGGGGAGACCTCACGGCCGCGTCACACGGCACTCCCGACGGACTGGAAGTTTCCACGTCCACACCGAAGGAAGCCCCGACGCACGTTCGTCAACGGTAGTAACGCGACACCAAAGCCAGAAACTGCCAGAAAGGAAGCTATTTTTTTTTTCTTTTTTTTTTTTTTTTTTGCCCCTCCCCGAAAGGAAGCTATTGATGGATCCGGCCACAGAAAAATTAAACACATCCGTACCAAAAAAAAAAAAAAAAAACCCAAAAAACCGTGCTGCAAGGTAAATGGCACAGGCACGTGTCGGGGGCCGTGCAAGGGTAAGGCTTTGTGGGCAGGGACGGCCCAAGACACGGCGGTCACGGGCCTGGCAGGAGCCCGGGCTCAGGAGCTGCTACCAATTCACAGGACACGGACGCCCCCAGCGCCGAAAGCACACAGGTGACCAATCCCACCAGCAAGCAGACGAGCTCAACGCGTTAATACATCAAAAACTTACAAAAACTTAAAACATGGGCAGCCGGGCGGCTCGGCGGTTTAGCGCCTGCCTTTGGCTCAGGTCGTGACCCCAGGTCCTGGGATCGAGTCCTGCATCGGGCTCCCTGCATGGAGCCTGCTTCTCCCTTTGTCTCTGCCTCTCTCTCTCTCTCTTTGTGTCTTTCATGAATAAATAAATAAAATCTTAAAAAAAAATAACTTAAAACCCCACTAGCAGCCAGGGTTGGTGAGGATTCGGGGCAAGAGGACTTCTGAGCATGCCCAGAGCAAGCGATGGCTGGCCGCCCGTCCAGGCGGCTCCGTGGACGTCTCGGCCCTGCTGCCCTTCCCCGGCCGCTCCCCGACTGCTGCCCCGTCGGTCTGGTCACCCCGCACTCAGCAGCCACATCCTTGGTGGCCGCCTTGGAAGCAGCGCCCAGGGCAGCGGCGGGCTCTCAGATGACAGCTCCTGTGGAAGCCGACCGGTCAGAAGACGGGGACACAGCCCTGGGGCGGCAAGCTCGTTCCCCAGTGCAGGAACGTGGACACGCGGACATGCCCACTGCCAGGCCGCTTGTGACACTGAAGGAAGGCAGACAGCGCGGCGTCCTATAGTGGGAGATGACGTGACCGGGAACAGGGTACATGCGCAGAGGCGGCGAAGGGCAGCGACCAGCCCGCCGCCCGTGGGAGCCCCAGCAGGGCCTGCCCGGCCGGGTGCCGCGCTGCCACGGCAACTTCCAGGGGGCGGGGACCAGGCGCGGGGAGGCCAGCGCCCAGCCAGGCTGGAGGACTGTGCCCGGCCGTGAGGCGCCCACAACGCTGCTGTAGATCCCTCACGTGGGCGACACCCCGCTGAGCAAGAGAGCAGGTTACCACCAAACCATATATGGATTGCGATCCCATTTCTGCGTGAAGGGAAAAGACAGTGTTTCTCCGGCGCTGGAAGTGTGAGAACATTCCTAGAACCAGGCTGCGGGAGAGGCACAGCGCACGTTCACTGTGCAGAGCCTCGGTGCTGAACCTACGTGCGTCGGGATTCTTCTATTTAGGACAATTTCAAGAAAAACAGGAAAGCACATGCATTTATAGATTTTGATGCTTCTATAATCAGAAAAAGACAAAGGCTTTTTTTACGTTCCAAGGAGGGTGACTTGAGAATCTGGCGGCCTCCTGCCCTGGCGCGCCCCCCACCCCCACCCCCACCCCCACCCCCACCTGGCCGGGGCCAGAGTCCTCCGCCTTCAAGGGCTCCCTCCCTCCCAGGCTGCTCTACGGGGAGCAAACCTGCATCCGGTTAGTGACTCCCCGCTGGTAAGCTGCTGTCACATGGGGCTCCGGTGCTGGCCACGACTGTGGAGGAGAGGCCCTCCCCCTCCCCCCGGTCACGCACCTGCTCCGCAGGCAGCACCGGAGCCCCCTCGGCAACCTCACCGCATGCGGGGTCTCCAAAGCCGCACTGGTGCAGCTCTGGGGCAGGGCGACAGGAAAGGCAGGTGTCCTGGGGTGCCCTGGCGGGTTCAGCCCCTGAAGTCCCCAGCAAGGGATCGCGTGGCGGAGGCGCGGGGTTGGGGGGGAGGGAAAGGTGCCCCGGCTCCTGCGTGAGGCAGAGGCGCCGAGAACTTGGACATGCGCCCGGCGCCTGCTGCGCCAGCCCGGGGGCTGTAGACTCACTCCGCGGGACCGGCGGGGACTGGCGGGGACCGGGACGTCTCGTCGACATCACAACCACAGGGATTTACCTGGCACTGAGTTAAAGTGCCCCCGTTTCCCTTTCTCCCTGCTCTCTGCATACCAAACTTGATATATTAATTGGGAGTTTTAATCCAAAAAATTCATCCGAAGGACTTCCGTCGCCATGGCAACCGTGCAGTCACAGTAAATGCACGTCTGCAGCACAACACCGCCGCCTCTTCAAGCCCGCCTGGCAGCGGGGCCGACAAAGTAAGGCGAGCCCTGTCTGGAGGGGCGAGGAGGGGTGACTTCGCACCCCGGCCTGCGAGAGCGCGGGGGTCAGGCGCCACGGCACGCCCCCTGACCCCCCTCCTCCCTTCCGAACCCCAGTCCTCGCCTCTAGATACACCCGCGGCCCTCTCCGCGAGCGTGTGCCCTGACGCCTGAGCTGCACGTGCCCCGGCGATGCCGCGCAAACGCGAGATACAGGTAACCGGGGGCGGCCGAGCCCAGGCCAGGCTCAGCCTCCCAATCTCACCAAACAAAGCCCAGGTAAGTCCCGAGGTGCGTGCGATCCGGGGACGTGGCCGCTGTGCCGAGCGATGAGCCTGTCCCCGACGGTCACGTGTCCTAAGGCGCAAGCACCTGTAGCCAAGGCAGCCACCTCCCACCCGCCCGCAGCAGCTGCTCCAGCGGCGGCCGGCCTCCTCCGGGCAGGTACAGGGGTGACTGAGGGGATCCTCAACTCAGACCGTGAGCAGCGGAAACAGATCCTGTGCTCTTTTTGCCTTTTTAATGATCCTTGAAATCTGAGCACACAGAAGAACCCTACGCGAAAACGCTCAAGGCGGCGGCCCTGGAGCGACAGCAGTCTCTCTCCTTCCGCGTCCTCCGCCTCGGGGAGCCCAAGGCGAAGGCACGAACAGGGCGGCCAGCTCTTGGCTACACCGGCCAGCGCCGAACCCACACGCGTCTCTCAGACATTCTCTCATCCCGCAGCCGGAGAAGCGAGACGTCAGTCTGCTTCCTGACCGGCGCCTGATTCACCCTGCGCTGTCTCTACTCGGAATATCCACGTCAAAAACAAAAGTGTAGAACATAGGGAACATTCACAGCAGTGACTTCCGCGGCCCCAGAGTGCGGAACACGATGACGGGCAGACCGGGAACACGCCGTGCCGATGTGGCAGCCGGGGAGGCACCTCGGCGAGTCCAGCACCCGTGGCCTCCCCCCCCGCCGCCCGCTGGCCGTGGCCAGGCTCAGGCCAGGCTCGGCGGAGCCAGCACCGCCCCCCCCCCTGCAGCCACAGCAGCCTCTCCATCGCCCTGGTGACCGCCTGCACGCGGCCTGCACATTCATCCCCACTGGCCTGAGGTCGTACTCCGGTAATTTCCTCTAATGCTTAAATTATTTATCAGAATAAATAGCTTGGGCTCTTGTGCTGAGCTGTGCTCTAAAATTATAAAAGACCCATCCTACCTCTGCAGGCTGCCTACAAAATGCAAAATGCATATTTCGACTATTTTAAGAAAATGTCAAAAAAACATCAAATGTGTCATCCTCGTACCACTTAAATTATCCGCATGACATCTGTAGAAAAGAGCTGTGACTGTACCGCGGTGCCCAGAGGCGGACCTTCCCCACAGGTAGGCGCCGAGTCAAAGGTGGCCTATCACCTGTTTCCCCAGCGCACCTGCCTCCGCATGGCCTCTCAAGAGATGCGGGTTCCCTGGACCAGCAGCGTCACCTGCAAGAGGACCTGAGGGGAAACCCTCCAAGGGGGTCCCCAGAGGGCAGGTCTTTGCACAAAGGCAAAGCCACCGCTGCTGCACATCTCAACGCAAAGGTTGGGCCCGCGGCGCCGGCCACTCGGCCACCCGGCCACCGGGCAGGCCAGACCCAGAGCTCCCAGGGCCTGGACCTCGCCACCTGTGGGGCGGGCATCTTCCTTCGCCAAGGCGCACGCACAGGTGCAGAGTTCACGGAGCCTGCACATCGCCCCCAAAAGGAAAAGGAGAACCTGCAGCGCTGGCCGCGGTGGGCGGCAGACCCGGCCGAGCCCCTCCCCACGCTGCCCCGCTGGACACGAGGGCGCAGGCGGGAGCCGGCAGGCGCGTGGGCACCTCGGGCTCCCCGCGCGAGTTTCCCGGGAAACGGAGCCCCCGGGCCCCCCCCCCCCCCCCGCGCCGCGGTGTCCGACGCGGGGCAATCCCAGGCCCCAGCCCCGTCCCGCCCCCAGCGGCCGCGCTCACCGTCCTCCTTGTCGTCAAACACCGGCCTCCGCGCCGTGGCCGCCGACATGGAGGAGCCCATCCTCTTCTTCCACTTGCTCCACGGGAACAGGGGGCGCGGCTGCGCGCGGACATCGCCCGCGTCCCGGGCCCGGGGCTGGCCGGTGGCGGGCGGCGGCGGCGCGGGGGGCGCGTCGGGGCCGGAGGGGCGCGCGCGGCCGGGGGGCGGCGAGCCGGGGGGCGCCAAGGCGCTGCTGCCCCTGCGCTCCGCGCCGCTCCTCATCGCCGGGCCTGGGTGCGCGCGGCTGCCGGGGCCGGAGACATGGCCCGCCCGCGGGCGGGAGCGGGAGCGGGAGCGGGAGCCGCAGCGGGAGCGGGAGCGGGAGCGGGAGCGGCCGGCGGTGCCCCGAGCGCCCGGCCCGGGCTGGCGGCTCCTGCGGCGGGGCCGGCTCCGCCGACTGCCGTGCGCGGGGGCGGGGCCGGGGCGGGGCCGGCGGGAGGAGCGGGGCGGGGCGAGCGCGGGGGGCGGGGCAGGGGCGGGGCCAGGAAGGAGCGAGCGGGGAGGAGCGAGCGCGGGGGGCGGGACCGGGGCGGGGCCAGGGCGGAGAGACCGGGGCGGGGCGAGCGCGGGGGCGGGGCCGGGGCGGGGCGGGGGGGGGTCACGCCGAGGGCCCACCGCGCACCGGAGGGGGTGGCCCGCCCGAACCCCGCGGCCGCACAGCCAGGAGGAGGCGGGGACAGGAGCGGGGGAGGGCGTGGGGGAGGGCGAGGGGGAGGGCGTGGGGGGCCCCCAGGCGGTGGGGAGAGCCCTGGTCTGCAGGGCGCGGGGACTCTGGCCCGCGGGTCCCCCCTCGCCGGGCCTTCCCCGCCAAGCCGGCTGCCCGGGGCGGGGCGGTCTTGCACTTCACCCCGCGGCCCTGCGCGTCGCGAGGCGGGACCGGGCGGGGCGCAGGGACACGGCGCGCGGGGGCCGAGGCGGGCGGGGGTGGGCGCGGCAGGCGCTCGGGGCGGGAGCCCAGCGGGCCCTGCGGCCGCGCCCCGGGGGAGGGGCGGGCGCTCCGCGGGGAGTCTGGCCGCCAGCCCCGCGCTCCTGCACCCGCGGCCTCGGGGTCGCCTCGCCGGGTCCCTGCCCCCTCCCCCCCCCCCGCCCCGCGAGGCCGCAGCCGGAGCCCCTCCCGGGACCCGCGGTCCGAGTGGCCCAGAGCCCCCCCCCCCGCCCCCGCCCCGCCCGGTCGGACCACGGCCTCCGCGCTCGCCCCGGGGTCGCCACGACCTTGGCGGGCCGCTGGGGGCCGGGGCGCGCGTCTGACCCGGCGGAGCCCGGGCGCGCAGGAAAGCCCCAGAGGCGGGTGGGAACCGCGGCCGCCTGCGCGCGGACCTGGTCGCGGGGAATCCGGGGACGGGGTGGCTTGGGGAAGCCCCGGGCTCTGCCGCGGAGCCAGGCCCACAGCCGGAGCCCCTCTGCTCGCCTTCTGCCCCCCACGGCGACAGCCGAACGGCCCCCTCGCCCCTGCGGACCCCCCAGCGCCCTGGGCTCTGCCCTGACCCCCAGCGCCTCTCCTGGCTCCACCCCCACCCCAGGGTGGTGCTAGGCTTGGGGGGCTTTCCTGTAGGCTGCACTTGACCCACCCGCACCTCTGAGACCCAGTGTGGCTCCTTGACCCGCTTGACCAGCGGTGACCGGTGTTATTCCTGGGCCAGTGCGGGCCTGGCTGAGAGGGCGCCCCCATCCCTCAGGACCACCTGCAGACCAGCCTGTGCCCCGCTGAGATGGGGGGAGTTACTTTTACCCCTGGCCACTGGGTTAGTCCCACTGACCATCTACCCACTGCGGGTCTCCCGGCCTGGCTGACCTGAGCGCATCCCATCTGGACTTGACCTTGATGGCACTGAGACAAGTCCCAGGCCTCCCAGACGGGCTCAGCGTCTGTCCCTTGAGCTCCACCCAGCAGTGCCATCCCGGGCTCCCGCACAACCACTCTCTGCCAGGAGCACGGAGAAGGCACCTAGCACCTGGCCGAGCGGGCGCCCTGTAGGAATTCATGGCGCAGGGGGGAGCGGGGAATGTTTCCGAAGGGGGGGAGGCACCGGCAGGTTATGCTCGGCTGCTGTCACCCGGGGCTGCACATCAGAATTCCAGAATTCCCCAAACCCACAGCAGCCTCGGATTGTCCAGTGCAGCGGACCAGCCTTCTTCATCTGCTCTCCTTTCCAGAGCCTCTAAACGGGAGGGGGGGGGGGTGTATTACCTCCCCTCCCCCACCAGAGAAGGAACAAAGAAAAAAAGACTTTAGAAGGAAAAAAATGTTAATGGATTCAGAAACTGGCTGAAAAAGTTACTGGAATCCTAGTCGGAGAGACAGAGGGTTTGGAGGTAACAGGGGGCCCAGGGGCTTGGAGGTAACAGGGGGTACTGCAGGCAGGGCTGCCAAGGGGCAGGGGGGGGGCAGTGGAGCCCAGGGTGACCCCCAGTGCAGGGCAGGTGGGCACAGCTAGTCCTTCTCTGAAAGCAACCAGGGCTCCTGCCTCAGGGGCACCAGGCCAACAGAAGACAGGGGACCTGCAGGGATGAGTGAGGATGTCTGCACTGACCTGGGGGCCAGCCACCTGCCCAGGGTCAGGACACAGGACGAGTCTCCTCTGGGGACACTGAGCACCTCTCCGAAGACCCCGGGGCCCTAGGGTTGTGGGTCCTTCCCAGGGTCCAGCAGAAAAGAACAGGAGCCAGCAGGGCAGATGGGCCTACAGCTGGCCCCTGGGCTCAGGGCTGGCCCTGTCCGGGAGACCCCCTGTGCCTGGCCGTGGCACAGGGTCCCGGGAGGCCCAAGGACTGGGTGTGCAAGCTGGAGCAGGTGCATGGGGCGGGCAGGAGACAGAAAAGCTGGGGGCTGCCTCCCCCGGGGAGCCCACCAGGTCACTGCAGCCACAAAGGTGACTGTGGAGTGCAGGGGAGGCTGGGAGGGAGTAAGGCTGGAACGGGGCCAACTGGAGTGGAAAGGGGGCAGCGAGGCCAACGGTGTCCCGGCTGCCCACACGGGGGCCCCGGCAGCTGCCCACACTGGTCAGGAACATCAGCCAGCCCAGAGCGGAAGTGTCATCTGTCCTGTTCCGGTGACAGGAGTCCGTGAATGACTCGGTAACCGTATGAACACGCGTGCCACGTCAAGCACGCGGGGGCGCATGGCGTCTTGGGCGGTGTATGATCACGGGACCGCTTTATGGGGCGGTCGGGCAGGGTTCTGAGCCTGACCTTGTCGCTGAGGCTTGAGCGTGCACTAGCAGCCTCGGAGGCGTGTGTCCCAGGGCCTGGGACGCTGGCCCCGAGGTAGAGACAAGCTCCAGGACGAGGACAGAGAGGAGCCCGTGCCTCTAGGGGGACAGTGAGTGCCCAGTGAGACAGGGCATGTGCGGAACGGCTGGTGGTCGATGTCGTGTTCAAGGCTCAGCCTCTGAAACCCAAGCACGGGTGTGCACTGCTCCCACGGGATTCGACCCTGGGTCGCTCCCCTATGCAGAGGGTCCGCGGCCCCCTCTTCCTGGCAGGGAGTGCAGAACAGGCCCCGGCCCTGCTGGGACAAGGGGCCAGGGGTACCAGGAAGGCGGGGCCTTGGGAATTCATGTGCTGGGGGTGGGGGTGGGGGGTTGCCTGGTGACAGTACTGGTTGTGGAGGTGGCGGCTGCCTGTCCTCTGATGACCCCAGAGAGGAGGATGCACCGCCGACAAGCAGAGCCTCACAGGGTCCTGGAGGGAACCCCACGCCTTGGTGGTACCAGGTCTGAAGCACAAACTCGTGCTTTACCCCGTCGGTCCCAGAGCGTCGGGGCTGCCAGGAGGGAGCAGCACAAAGCGGTGCCGCGTGAGGCAGGAGCAGAGTCTCGCTCGGCTCTGGGGCCCGGAGTCTGAAATGGAGGCGTTAGCAGGGTGGGCTCCTTCTGGAGGTCCTGAGAGAGAAGCCGTCCCATCTCCCGGCATTCCTTGGTGTCCCTTGGCTTGCAGAGGCGTCCCTCCGATCCCTGCCTCCATCGGGACACCACGTCTCATCTGTGTGTCCTTCCCTGTTCTTCCCCTACAAGGACGTTTGCCGTAAGACTTCGGGCCCACCTTGGCGCAGGACGATAGCAACTCGAGATCCTTGCCTCGATTACGTCTGTGAAGGCCCTTGTTCCAAACAACCTATAACCCTGCTTGTAGGTTCTGGGTGGACACACCTTTTGGGGAGCCCAGTGTTACACCTGCCATGGTCCACCCCTTGTGCGGAACACAACCAGGGCACCCCAGCGCCCCCGAAGCCTCAGCACTGCGGCGGGACCTCCAGGCCTACACTTCCACCTAAGTGTGAGGCGCTCACAAGCCCCAGGTGTCGCCATGTGACCAGGTGCGAGTGAGACTCTGGGTGTGGCCGCTCCCGTGCAGCTGGAAAAGAAGTGATCTGCTCCCCGAGGGCCACGGTGCTGGGACAGACGTTTCCATCCCGGAAGAGAAGCTGAAGGAATGAAGGAGTCCCCCTTCCCAAGGATGGTGGGAGCTCCAAGGCCCGAGGAGAGTCCTCTGTCACCGCTCGCCCACCCTTGGGCCATTCTTCCTTCTTCCCACGGGCGGCCCTATCAGCCCCTGTCCTGCTCGTGGAGCTGTGTGAGTCCTGAAGCCTCGTTCCCCGTGTCCTGAATCTGTTCCTTCTGCTGAAGGACACTTGTGGGTTCTCAGAGGCCCAGTAAGTGTCCCGTGTGTGTCACGAGGGGCGGCCGGTGCGGTGGGCGGGGAATCCATCACACGGGAAGGGCCCCCTTGGATCTCCCCTGCATGACCCCAGCTGTACCCCTGGGTCTGCTGAGACGGCCAAGCGGATTCAGATTCGCCGAGCTAACGGCTCCCGCAAGCGGCTCTGCAGCCACAGCCTTGGCCTCCGTGCACAACATGCTTTTCCAACAGTCCGTTTCCCGGTTTCAGTGTAGGCCGAGAACCTCGCAAATCTTTAAGGGCTGTTTCGTTTTTGCTTAAGAGACCTCCCTGACGTATCTGTGCTCTCACAGTTCACTATGAGCAGCAAGAGGAAAGCAACCCACACCTCTAACACTTGGCTTCTAAGTCTCCTCGGCCAACAGCCCAGTTCATCGTCACTTATAAGGCGTTCGGCCCAACATCACAGCGCCATTCAGTCACGTTTCCTGCCGCTTTATAACCAGGGTCACTTTTCCTCCGGTTTCTGTAACATGTTCCTGGTTTCCAACTGACACGCCACCACCTTTAACACTCACACTTCCACCAACTCTCTGGGCGTGGTGACGTGTGTGCCCTCTAAGAGAGCAGCTCTTCCTTCCTTCTGAGCGCTCACCAGCCCACCTCAGGGGCCATACTTCTATCAAATGTCTGTTCA